CCAACCTATCCCTATGTATTCCCATTCTCAGTGACGTGTAGAAAGAAAATGAACCTCTGACTTGAGAACTGGATCCCCAAGTTTTTCAGGGGGAAGAGAGTGCTTGGGACAGGAAAGGGAAGAAGACAGCATGGAGACAGGGAATTAGGTCCCTGAAAAACAACCCTTCCTTAGAGGGGGTTTGATTCATCCATCAAAAGAGCAGGCATATACATCAGAGAAAGCTTTCGCAACATCAGTATTAGAGCTTTATGCCCCAGGGAAGTAAAGACCAACTCCAGGAAGCAATTGATTTGAATGTCCCTCTGAGAATTCTCTTTGGGTCTCAGTGAGAACTGAGAAGTCTTCTGAATCTGCAGAGGGGCAATGGAAATGGAAGAGTGGTCATAGTTTAGTTGATTTGGGGGGCCCCCACTGAGTTCATTTTAAGCTTTATTGAGGTATAATTAACATTGATTAAACTATACATATTTTTTAAATAACCATTTCATAAGTTTAACATATGTATTCATTATGAAACTATCACTTCAATCAAGGTAACAAGCTTATCCATCAATCTCAAAAATTTCCTTACACCCCTTTATAATCTTCCTCCTCTCCCCCACCTCATGTCAGGTGATCACTGATCTGCCTTCTGTTACCATAGATTAGGTCATATTTTCTAGAATTTTGTATGAATGGAATCATACAGTGATCTTGTCAGCTTGAATAATTTTTAGAAATTTATCTTCAAGTTCACTGATTCTTTCTTCCACAGTATTGAATCTGCTGCTAATTCCATTCAACAAATTGTTTAAGATTATGTATTCTGCAGTTTTAGAATTTCCTTTTAGTTCTTTTATATTATATTTGCCTAAAATATACTATCTTCTCACCCACTAAATTCATCTTTTTCTGTAGATTCTTTAGCATGCTTTCGGTAAATATTTTAAATCCTATCTGCTAATTATAACATCTCGATCATCCTTTAATCATCTACTGTTTTCTTTCTTTTGATTAAGGGTTACATTTTCCTGCTTCTCAGGTCTGATGTTAGTGAATACTGGTCAGTGTGGATGATAAGTTGTATAGACTCTGAATTCTGTTCTTTTCTTCTTGAATTTTGTTCCAACAAGCAATTAAGTTGGCAGATCACCTGTGGAGACTGGGTTTAAAGCTTTATTAGGTCTGGTCTCTCTCAGCTTTGCCTCTTAGTCTCATGAGGTTTCAATGGAAAGACCAAGTTGTTTGCTGAGCTCCTCTAGCTTGGCAGCAATTGAATTCCAAACTCTGTCTTCCCAGCTGCTGAGGTTGCTGCTTATTAGCCTTTTTAAGCCTTCCCAGTTGATGTTTCCCACTGAACCCCTTGGGCTCTCACCTTGTATATCCATAGTTCTGAAATCATCCAGTGCTTTGAGGGGAGTATATATGTAGATCTGGGGGCTCCCCCTTCCTTTCCAGGTTCTCCTCCAATTTCCAGGCAGCCTCAAACCCTGACCTCTCCCTGATTCCTTAGCCCAGTTGGATTGCAGCTTTCTTCTTGAGCTATATTTTCTTGTTCCTCATGGAAGTGCTCATAAAGGAAAAGCCTGCTGAGAGTGGATCTCACTTAGTCTCACCTTTTTTCAAGGGTAATATCCCCTCCAGTTTTTGCCTGATTTTGGTTGCTCTCTAGTACATTCAAACAGTTGTTGTTTTGTTTTTTATCCAGAGTTTATCACTGTTTTAGGCTGGAGGATCAGCCCACTATGAGCCCACCGTTACAGGAAGCAGAATTCTCCAGTCCTTCTATGGGCTCCCTGCCAACTCCCCTTGGTTCTCTCAATTAAAAAAAAAATTGCACACTGTTTGTGTATCATGGATACTGTATCTCTTCTTACTTCTCTGAGGGTATTAATGATAGTGTTTTTTGTTTTTTAAGTTTTCTTCTCCAGGAATAGTTTGTTTCCTCCAATTTGTGTCCTCTGTCCCTTGTTTTGGCCTCTAATAGTTGTGTTAGAGTTTTTTTCTGACGACCACTGGTTGTCTAATAAGGTTTAAGAGTAGGAAACTAAAGCCAGGGTGAAAGCTGTGTGTTCATGCTGATGGGTGGCACCTGCTTTCTGCCTCTCGGGATGGTCATCAGGCTGGTCTGTTGGGTGGCCCAAATCCCAGTATCTTCAGGTCTTTTCTCATAGCTGCTCACATTTCCAAGAGGAGATTCTTTTCATTCATCTTAGTCCATTCAAGCTGCTATTAACAAAATACTATAGATGGGTAGCTTATAAACAACAGTTTATTTCTCCTGTTCTGAGAAGTCCAAGATCAAGGTGCTGGCAGGGTTGGGTTCTGGTGAAGGCTGTCTTCCGCTGTGCAGACTGCTGACTTCTCTCTGTGTTCTCAAATGGGGGAAGGAACTAAGGAGCTGTGTGGGGTCTCTTTTATAGGAGATTTAATCCCATTCGTGAGCGTTATACTCTTATTACCTAAGTACTTCCCAAAGGCTCCATCTCCTAATACCACCACACTGGACATTAGGATTTCAACACATGAACTTTGTGGTGATGCAAACATTCAGGCCATAGCACACTCTCATCCCCAGAGGGTGAGGTTTAGCCACTTGTGTCCTCAGAGCTCAGTGGGCAGAAGGCTGCAAGTCTCACCATCCTGTAGGTATATGTTCACTTGATCCCCCGGTTTTAGAGTAACTCCCCTGCCCTGAGCTGTGCTTGCTGCCTGGTGTCCCCTAGGCCTGAGGCCCTCTGTTTGCCATCTTCAGAGAATAAGCATCTAGACTTGTGGGAGGTAGGCAGCTGTCTGGGAGTATGGACTCAGACAAGCTTCTAGGGTTCCGGCTGCCGCTTCTCAAACAGCCTTCAGCTAATCCCCTTTGCCTCAGTCTCCCTCCCAGATACTCTCAGAGGTACCTGGTGTCAGTCCCTGAGCCATCTGAGGATCCTCTGGACAAACTTGGGGTCTTGGCTCCCTACACTATCAGCTTCAGGTTTGGCTTTCTTGAGTGCGTAGTCTGTTATCACTTGTTACCTGCTTTGCAGCCTCCAAAGTTCTGATGGTGGTTTCTCCTCTGGGTATCAGAAGGGAGGGAAAGTAACTCAGAAACCAGCATCTGGAAACCTTGAAAAAGGTTGCTTTCATTGCATTGGTTGATTAGAAATTAGAATGTCCAAGTCCATGGACTTCAAGTTCTTCTCAATAGTCGAAACAACAGGGAAAATTTTGTACCAAAATATATGTATATATTAATAAGTGCTTATGAATCAGGGGTAATATAGACAAAAGTAGCAATGTAGATTAATTCATTTAAGAATTTATTTTTAAGTAAAAAGTGAAATGATTTGGGTTATGTTTTCTAGGAAGGAGACCTGAGAATGGGTACAGATTTTTTTTTCCTAGGGCCTTCTGCCATGTTGGGCGCCTCTGTATCTGGGGCCCTGTGTGTGGCTCTTGCTCCTTGCTTCAAGGAAATGCAGTGGGACTGTGGAAGCTCTGAGCAGTGGGGGTGAAGTGATAGCCTTACAAGAGCAGGTGATAAGCTCTGGGGTTCTCTGGACCAGAATGCAGAGGTGACATATCTCAGCTTAAAACCATGACCAGTGTGGAGAAGGCAGGCAGGAGCCAGGATGCCAGACCCTGAGCTGCTAGGAAGAGAGGGTTCTTTTGAAAATGGGACAGGTAACTTTAGCACAGATGGAAGCAAGCACAATTTACTGTGGCAGATAAGAAACTTAGGGAACTACTACTAGTGGCTCTTCTGGAAGATGGCTTAATCCCATAGGGACTTAGACAAACGAATGACACAGTATCACCACCTTCCTCACCTACCATGCAAAAAAGAAAAGGCTTCTGACAGATCCTGGAGATACTGACACATAACCCTTAATTTAGACACTGAAGAGGACAGTATGCTCTTAACTGGGCTGGATGGAGAATGGGGCAGCTTGGTGTAGTGGGTAAAAAGACCTGAATCAGGAAGTTCTGGGTTCAAATTGTGATTCTTCAACTTACTTGCTATGTGACCTTCAGCAAGTTCCTAACCTTTCTGACCCTCACAAGGTTCTGGTGAAAGTTAAATAAGGTACTTACATAACCTACAGTGGGTTCAATAAAGCAAAGGTTAGCCTGAGTCCTAAGCTGAGTTATCTGGGTTTTTATTTAACACCTATTTGCTGAGTCCTATCAAACACGAGGCTGTGTACATATATCTCCCCTATTCTAGAAAGGCTCATGAAGTGAAGGTGCAGCTCTGCTCCATCCTGCAGACCATCCTCAGGATGGCGGGAGGCTGTGAAGGTGAGCGTCCCCGTGTCCTCTCCTGGTTGCAGAGTGGCATGTGTGATGGGAGAGGCAGATTATCTGAGTGCTGCCTTGGCTGGGGCACCTTGTTCCATCTCAGCAGACAGCCCCCACTTCCCTCCTAGCCACTTTCCTAATGACCAAGCAAAAGGTTTCACAACCTACTGAGTAAATACCAGATGGTGATGATAGAGTTTGCAGGCCATTTCTGCTTTTCATTTATGTTTCACGGAGACTTGAAAGCTCTGGGGTAAAGTGGAGGGAGTGGGAATGAGGGATGCTGTGATATTGTCAGCATTTGAGGTTTACCCCCCTCCTGTGGACAAATGCGTTCCTTGCCTCTGAGTGCCCACATCATTATGAATTGACTGTGGTTACCTCAGGCTGTGCCTCGTCCAGGCCATGTGTTCCCTATTCCTTAGTAGCCATTGTGTCACATGTACATTGTGCTCTGCTGTAGCACCTTGCCAGTGATTACTGAGCCAGTTCATCCCAAACCTGGCTTTTAAGACACTCCAGTACCATGCACGTATTTTCTGGGCCTTGATTAAATTTCCCTTTGATACAACCTTAAAACTATGCCGTGAGCTTTTATTTGACTTAATGCCCACCTGTCTTGCCTTGAATGTTGTGAGGTTGTTTGTGGGAGGGCCGATACCATCCTTCCACTCACCTTACCTCCACCATTGTGACTCCTTTCACTTTGACCCTGTTTCTCTCTTTTCCAGAACTCACATGCTGCGTGTCAGACTGAACTATCCCTATTTCATCCTATAAGCCAAGATTTGCTACACTATCCTGATGCTCACAGCGGTGCCAGGGAAGGAGGCAGCCCCATTCCCAGTGTTTTCAGTGGGAGACCTCCTCGTGCACCCCATGGAGACTCAATGGGGCAGAGGCAGAAACTATAGGAGTACATGGCCCAAAACCTGCGTCTCCATCTGTGCATCAGTGTCACCTCGCTTTCCTCCCAGAGACCTCGCTGTCCCAGAGCGGGTCTTGCCTGAGAATTGAGGAGGAGCCACTCCGCCTCCTCCCTTCTCCCCACTTCAGTGGCCTGGGCATGGCGGCCCCTCGGAAGGGGAGCTGCCAAGAGCTCAGCCGCGCTGCCATGCATGTGTCAGCTCAGCTCTGTTGCAGGTTGTATGATTGTGTACATGAGGGACATGGCATCTTTCTGAATGGATTTTTCTTAAGAAATGTGCCAGTGTTTATGCAGGTCATGGTATTTCTCCCCATCTTTGCTGTTGCTGTCACTTGGCTTTTTCTCAGTAGGCTTCCTACTTATATTTTTTAATGAAAAGATTTTGCTCTTCACCCCTTGCATCCTGTATCTGACCCCTGTCCCCTGCCCCTCCAAGGTACAGAATTACCTGAGGAACTGATAAAAGATAAGAAAATCTTTTTTGGTCAGCCTGTGAACTCTTCATAGAATCTGTGTTTTGTTGTTGAAGAGAGGCTGGTGTTCTGCTTGGTTCTGCTTGGCCTCAGACGGCTCCAGCAAGAGCTGGTATGGTACTCACACCGAGCCGAGCATGTGTATCACTGTGACAAGCCCCTTGCACCACTGCCCTGTTCCCTGACAGCCAGACCACCCAACGAAGTGCTGGTCCTTCAGTGAGTGACAAATCACCCAGGTTTATTTTAAGCAGGGGGATCTGTTTGGCCTAGGAGAGTGAAGTGAGAGTACCATGTTTGCAGGTGAGCGTGTTATGACACAAAGAGCCACCTACCCTTCTAGCCCAAGTGTTTCTGTGCACACATGGGGCCAGGCCTCAGAAGACCTGCCTGGTTTCCCCTGGTTTGTGTCTTGTCCTCCCGTAGCTCCAGCCCCTGCTGGCACTGCAAGCTAGTGCTCCGTGGCTCTATGTGCACAGCTGCAGGGACAGGAATAACTTAGTGCCCCACCGGCTCCCCAGGCAGATGTAAGCCTGGCCACTCCCCTGCCCTCCTTTCGCAGGGACAGGCCGTGGGGCACAGGGGCACAGCACCGTGAAAGACAACTGTAGTCTCACCTCCCAGCCATCCCCAGGGTCCGCAGCTAAGAGGCAGTGGAATGGCTGACAGTAAGTGTCCCACACAGCTAGGTGGTTGCAGGACAGATGGCTCCAATCGGGTTAACCCCTCCCACTTCCCCAGGCAGGGGGAGGTATCACTAAATGACAGTGATACCCCAGATCCTCAGAGGCTGGGCTCAGCTCAGCAGAGACAGTGATGGCTGATGGCTGAGGGGGATGCTAGAGCCCGAGCCACCTTTTCCTTTTCCAGCTTTGCTGTCCTCATGGTTTTTCTTCTGAAGAGGAGGTGGTTCTCATCTTAGGCTTTTTCAGGGGTGACCTGGGCACGTTCTCCTGCCAACTCTGGGAGCTGTTCTGGGCCTGGGCATGGGGTCTGAGGGTCTGGCTGTGTCAGAGGTGCTTCGCGAGCAGGGAGGAGGCAGCCAGCATTGCCCTCAGAGTTCCCCATGAGCAGCCCTTCAGGAAAGACCCAGGGAGAGGAGGCAGGGGCTCTGTGCATCACATGCCATATGTGTATTTCTCCATGCAAAAAGACAGAGGAAAGCTGTGCCCTGCCCTGGATTTCCTGTCACACATGGATGTAGGAGGTGGGATGGCTCCCTTGCCCCTTCAGCCTCCTAACCCACATGAGATGGTGACTGCGGATTAGAGAAAAATCAGCTGCCCAAGTCTCTGCTGCCAGCTTCATTCCCTCTGCCTGCTAGGAGAGAGCCTCCTCATGCGGATCCAGGAGATCTGGAGCCGGGGCCAGGCCCGGGCTATAGGAAGACCAGGGAGGCCGACCCAGTTGCAGTGTACATGTAGCTTCGGGACAAGTGCAGCTTGTATATTGGGCCACGTGTAACAAGAAAGCTCTTCCTGCACCTTTTAGTGAGAGCTCCTGCTTCTGTAGCCAGTCCTCCTACAAAGTGGATGTTGACTCAGATCTGCCCTTCTGCTTCACCTCTGGAAAGCCCCCAGCATCTGATGAACACTCCAGGGAAGGGAGGAGGAGATAGGGAGCTTCTTGCACTTGGCTTTGCCATTTTGAGCAGTCGGTGCTGAGAGGGTTTCCCAGCCACCCGCTTCTGGGGCCACAATGTCACCATTGTGTGTGTCAGTGGCATGTCACCATTGTGCAATGAGCTTGTAGGGTGTATACACAGAGTCTGCAGGGCGCACAGCAGACCTGCCCAGGGGTGCTGTGTTGAGTCTGGTCTGTGCTCACCGAATGAGGACACACAGGCTCTCTGCAAGTCATCTTCCCTTGGCCTGCTCACCCCCAGAGGTGGTGCAGAAGAGGACAGGCTGGCTTTTGAGCATGTCTCTCACAATTCTACCTTGTCCACAGCCCAATTCCCATCAGCATCCAACTGGGAAAACAGAAGCCACTCTAAATATTTGAGACACAGGGATTTAAATCCAGAGAATTGTTTAGCACAGAAGAGCTGAGAGGCCAAATGGGGGAGTAAAGGGCAACCCAGAGATGGAGAACAACAGCAGGAAGCTGCTACCACCCGTTGGGAAGGGAGAGGCTGTGTTACCGAATCCTTTTGACCAGAGCCACTGGGAGAAACCTGGAGTCACAGAGGGCCTGTCTGTTGGGAACCAGAGCCATTAGGAGGCATGGCCCCCTCCAGAAGCAATCTCCCAGGCAGGGAAGTGGGGAAGAAGCCTCCCCTTTCTAGAGCCCTCCAGATTTCTGCAGGCACCCTTCCTTAGCTAAGCCGGCTGGTAGCCAGCTGACCTTAGAGCCGGGAACAGGCAACCTGCAGTGGTCAGGCCCCCATCACTCAGAGCAGAGCAGGGGAGAGCAAAGAGCAGGTCTGATGGCAAGCAGGCCCAGAATGCACAGGGCCTTGGTCTGTTCTAGGTCATGTCCAGTCTGTGTTTATGCCCCATGCCATCCTAAGACCCTGTGGAGGGTACGTGGAGGAGTTGCCCCTTGCAGTTTGTAGACTCTCACTCTGCTTAGAAAGTGCTTTGTGGAGGGAGGGGGAAGACCTCTCTTCATAACAGTTGTCCCTGTTTACCTTTGGGGGAATTTACCTATTTAGCAACCCACCTCACCGTTCCCCTCAGGAAAGCCATGTCCTGGTTTTCTGTCCGCCCTTCCCCATTTCTCTCCCTGCCAATTTCTGATTTTCCCTGCCAGAAACTAACCGAGACGTGCATCAGTGGTCATGAGTGTTTCCCCAGGATAATGCATTCCGAACGTGATACTGCAGTGTGGACTGTTTGTCTGTAAATAGGTGCCATCTACTAATCAATTTGTATCGTGTTTCCAATAAACTTCCCGAAATCATGCCTGGCTTTCAACTGTCCTTTGCTGGGGCGGTGGCTCAGTTGTAAGGCTCACATATGCACACGGCATCAGGTGCTCTTCATCCCCAGTGCTCCGACCCCCTGGGCAGCTCAGAGGTCGCTGAGTCTGACCCCCCACCAGCTACCCTGAGACTCTCAGAGGCCTTTTCGAGGGGGCTGTATTTTATTCTGCTGTCTCGTGAGCCACATCCTGAAGACGGGGAGGTTTCATGAGGAGCTAGGTCACCCCAATAGGTGTCTCCTAGGTCTGGATGCATGAGGAGCAACTGGCAGCCCTTTCCCCATCAACCACTCTTGCTCTGCTGTGCCCAGAGCCAAGTGATGGGGACAGTGCTAGGCTGCGTGCCCCGTATGGGAGGAAGGCTCCCCTGCAAGCAAAGTGAAATGTGCACAGGGGCTGCGCATCACAGGATGAAAGCCCAGCCTGCTCTTCTGCATTCCACTCTCCTCAAGCCTGAAAGTCAGAAATAAAAATGTCTTAGTTCACCTAAAAGATACAGAGAACCTGCCTGGCATTTTTCACTGTTTTCCAGGTCCTGAGAGCTAAAACCTGCTTGGTAGAAATTACTGTCTATTAGGTGTCGTGTTGGTTCAGCCTGTTTGAATGCAGTGTGGACTGTACTTCTGTTGCTGTGCTGGAGCCCTTGTAGGGTCTTGGGGACCTCCCCCCGACCCCTCCTCAGCCCATGTTTGTGATGTATACCTGTTTGTGACCCTTGGTTGCTGGGATTTGTGAGAGATTTTGAAAAGAGAGATATGAAGTTTCAAGAGTTTTGCAAGAGAAGCAAGACGTACACATGAGAGGCTCCCGGAGAACAGGAACAGTTGTAACTGAGGCTGTGTCAGTGCCTGTACAAGTTCCTGGATAGGGGGCTCTGTCTGGCTGGACTAGTGGTCAGGGAAGGTTTTGGGGAAGCCGAGGGATCCTCCAGGTGCAAGACAGCAGCCCCACCTTCATGAAGTGCCTAGGGTACCCCGTGGCTCTTGTCTTTTTTTTTTTTTTACATTTTATCCTCACTCAAGTATCTCCCTCTTTCTGGAAGCTTACCTGTAGACCTCAGATGGTTGCATGCCATACCTCTCAAGGAGTACCAGCCGTAGTAAGTTCCATTGCTAGGACTGGGTATTATGGGCAATTCCTAAGAGGTTGCTTCTTCATAAGCTTTATCTCCCAGTTGTTCTGATCTTGTTCCTGGGATGCAGAGTGTTTCCTGGAGGAAACTATTCAACCTGCAGAGACTGTGGGTGCCCAACTCACCGGGCCTCTTTGGGCTGTTGGCTTAGTGGCCCTTTCATATGTTCTTCAGGAGCTCACTTGCTTGTTCCCAGAACCAGCTGTTTCAAGCCGTTGTTACTTACTTAGTGCTTACCTGCTGAGAACCAAGCCTTTGAAGGGTCCCTTCACCATCTTAACCTCTGCCCCAAGACTTAGCCTATGTAATAGTGCATTTCCGCCAGCCCAGGGAGGCCCCCTCGGCCTCTGGTGGACCCTCCTGGCTCCCACATGCTGGATCCCTCCTCCCCCATCCCACTTTAGGGCCTTGCAGTAGAATGTCCTGACTCAGGCAAGACTGCCACTTCCCAGCTGTATGCCCTTCGGCAAGTTACTCAGCCTCTCTGTGCCTCAGTTTTTTCATCTGTATGATGGGATAATAGTATCTACTTCATAGGACTAAGTTAGTATGTGTGAAGTGCTTTGCAAAGGGCCTGGGACAGAGTGCTCATAACTGCTCTATCATCATTCTGTCCCCTCACTTTCACCTCCTCTCCCTTCTTCTTCTACCACTATATTTAAATTTCTCCATCCAGTCAACAAAACAACTGAACAATCAAGCCAGCAAGATGTCTGTCCTCCACTAGCTTCCCCTGGAGCCATCATCTTATCTCCCTTTACTGGCAAATTTGTTGAAGGAGAGAGGAGTTGTCTCCATTACTTCAAGTCTCATTAATTCCTCAACCCATTTTAGTACCATATGGCTTCCATTCTGCCCTTACCCCCAGCCACCCGCTGAAGTTGCTGTAGGTAGTCACTAGTGACCTCCTCATCGCAAACCCAGCACAGGCTGTAGGCATCCTCTCAGCCTTCTTGAGCATTGGCAGCTGTTGTCGTGTTACGCTTCTTTGTTCATTACAGTGACTCCTTATTCTCCACTCAGAGTAATGCTAAGTAACATTCAGATACTACTCATAGTTACTTTTTTCAGATATTTTTTACAGAGATAACTTCAGATATAGTGGTAGATCCCTGTGTAGCCCCTTTTCATGTTCCTCCATTTCAAAAGCACTCTCTTTAATTTGCTCACAGTTTTATATAATTAATACAAATGTATGAATCATAACCACAATAGAATATGGTTTGCATATTATTAAACTTGATACAAATGACATTCTATCACTTCTTGAAAAGCTTTTTTAAATAGTGCCAGACATGAATTGTTAATCCAGAGTGTCCATCCAGGAGGCTTGACCAGACGGTGCCAGACACATGCTTCAGTTTTTGGACCAACCTCCTTCAGCATGCAATTAGGAATCTTAAAAATGCTTTACACTTGCATGAGGTACTTTACAGCCTGTCTGAGTGTTTTCTATTTGGCTTTGACCCTTGTGAAAGATGGCTTTATTATGTTCTTTTTAATGGGCCATCTCTTTACTTGGGTGAAGAGATTGCCTTGACTTCTTTTATGCTCTCTTTTATTGTTACATTCCTGGTTTTCTTCTGACTTAAAGGTTTCTTCTAGACATTTCACTCTGTGTGTCCCTTACTCATGGGGATTTTTTAAAGGATGGTTTTTCTCTCCACTCACACCCCAGGTGATCCCATCCATTCTCATAAGCTCAACTCCCATTGATAAGAGGAAGATTCTGATATCCCATCTCCAGCCTGAATGTGCTACTGTACATTTTTACATGGAGGTCCTCCAAGCCCATCCGATTTGTCTTCACTCTTTGTCTGCTCTGAACCTGCTCTACCTCCTGTACCCTCAGTGTGCCACCATCCACCCATCATGCCCCAGGTCCCCTCCTCCACAGTTGTGCCTCTCCACCCACCCCTTCATGCTCTCTGCCACTGCTTTTATGGGGCCCTTGCTTGAAATACAGACTCTTTCCTACGTAGGTCATCTCCCACCCATGCTTAGCAGTCTGTCCACAGTAGTACCAGAGTAACTGATCAAAATGCCAAATAGAATCTTTAACTTCGGAAGAACCTCAGCACACTCCCTTTCCCACTATGTCTGCAGGACTGACCCAGGCCCCCGAGCTTGCCGGGCAGCCTGCCTTCCTGCCTGTCTCCTAACTTGTGCCTAGGCTGCAGCCTCTCTTGCCTCACTGGTCTCCTGCCCCCTCCCTGTGCCCTTGTTCATGCTCTTCCCAGTGCCGGGGATGCCATTCCCTTCACTACTTTCCTTGTCCTCCAAGATTCAGCTCACATGCATCACCTCACTGACTGCTGGACAGAGTTAGCTCTTCTGACCCTTGAAAACCTTGGATGACACAGGCATGGGTTGCATTTGATCCACTTGCAGATCTGTTTCTCCCAGACTTGGCCTTGGGGTTCAAGGTAAGAGTCGTGTGGTCTTTCTCTATAGCTTAGTGTCTAGTGCCTGTGGGTGCCCAGTAAACACTGGGTGATTAGTGGCTGTCGACCTGTCAGCCCAGCCCTGTCTGCTCACCCCCTGCACTGAAGTCCCTGGACTAAAGTCGTGGATCCCGTCTGTTCCTCCCTAAGGATGACAGCAGATTACGTTAGGAGAAGAAGAGAAGGTGCTGCCCCAAATTCACACTGAATAGTGCAGCCCAGCCCAAGGACCAAAATGCAATTTGGGACTTGAAAGTAGGAAATGGGGTCTTTACTCAGCCTGCTTCCAGCTTATCCCACCATGGGCACTACCCTCCCATCTGAAAAAAATCCCTGCACTGTACTTAACACATTGTGCCACTGAGACTCCCTTCTCTTTCTGCTGCTCCTCCTACTCGTCCTCCTCTTCTTCCTCCATCCTTTCTCACTCCTTCTCCCCCGCCATGTAATCACTGCCTTCCCCACTCAGCACTTTGGCATATCAGCTACCAACCCCTGGAGTGGGCCAGGGGCCAGGATCACTGTTCCCATCTCACAGGTGGAGAACTAAGTCCAGAGAGACAGTGTGTCAGGGCCAGGGTTAGGACCAGGAGAGTCCTTCCAGGAGAGGGAGGGTGTGGAGGCGCCTAAAGGCCTGTTTCTCTGGGAACACCCAGACCCTCTTTGAAGAGGGCCCCGTGAAGGGTGGGGAAGCCCAGTTCGTCAGTGAGGGAGCAGTTCCAACTTCAACAGGAGAGGCAAGAAGGATACAGGGCAGGTGAGGAGCGTGGGCCCAGACCCTGTGACTGGCATCTGCCCCGAGACTCCGCACGGGGGAGACACGCTGTGCATCTGGGCCATGGGGCCCGTGTGGTGGTTCTCTCACATCACTGGGGGGGAGTGGGCCAGGCTGCTGAGGGGATGGGAGGATGTGATGGTGGTGTGGGAAAGGGCCCAGGAGGAGAAGACTGAGGAAATGGCAAGTGGAGACCCATTTGCCCACAGAGCTGCTCTGAACACAGGTGGGTACAAATATGGGAAGAGATGGTACCAGACGGAAGGCGCCTGGTGTTCACATGGCACGTTAGTGCCAGCTGGTGGAGGCTCCATGCCAGGTGCGCAGTCCCAGCCTCCAGGAGTATTTGTGCCTTGCACCAAAGTGTCTGACTTGGAAATCACAAATCTCAGACTGAGGTTGGGCTGGCCCAGGCTTGGTTGTCTCCTCCCCGTGTGGCCAGGGTTGGGAGATGGGGAGTGGCTTTACCAGGGTGACAAAGGCAGCTGTGGAGGAGTGGAGCAGGGGGCCACGAGACATGAGCCACCTTGGAGGGGCCCAGGCAGCACACCCCTTTTTATCACTTGGTTTGGGTTCTTACATCACTGGCGGTTTCTGAGAGCAGCTGCTGAGTTTTGAGGAAAGGGAA